AGTTGACAAGTTTCACTGATTACTGCTATCCAAATCCAGGAAGAAACCTGCCCTTTTCAACTCTGTGTAGTGATCTTAAAATAGTTCCCAGTATGGAAAGAGCTATTTTTCTTATATTTAAGACAATTCAAACTCAGTCAATATTTTTTCTACTTGACTCCCTTTCCTGATCCCATTTCCAATCCTCAGGATTACCTAGAAGTTTCTCAGTCTGGGGAAGAGGGTTTATAGGATCCACTCTTTTCAACACCCTGGATGCAACTGCATTTCCTCCTATAATTATTTTTTTTCAATATAACACTGTCAGTTTACAAGATACAGGTTGGACAAGAGAAAATAAAAGAAAGAGGATTAATTGTTGCTATTCAACCTTCTCCATTTGACTTATTAAATTCTTACTATTTTGCATTATATTTTAATTTAATCACCAAAAGAAAGACAATTAAACTGTCATCTCATCATCATTGAAGAAAACATAATTTCACTGCATTATAGGTTGCATGCTTATTGGCTAGAAATGGGTAAATATTTCTCATCTCCCTTGATCAGCCATAAAATTATTTGCACTAAATGTCTGTTCTCCAACTCATAGTATGCCCCAAGTCTCTGGGCAGTAGAAGAACAATCAGAAGTTATATCTCTTAGGTCCTCTTGCACATTGGTATCTTGTTCCTTCTAATGCTATGTGAGTGATATCATTATATGATTTATATAGCAAGGCAATCCAAAACTAGTAGAAAATTTGTTTTAACTTCTTTCATCTGATGTACAGGATGAAGGAATTATACAATGGAAGGAACTTGATTTTCAAAATTACAAAATGGAAGATGTCTACACACGACTCAGGAATATTTGCACAAGATTGTTAAAATCAGTATACCTTTTATTAATAACTTTTGAAACCCTGGGTTTATTTGTAATGATAAAAATGCTGCAATAATTTCTAATACATGTAGTGATTCTCGGACAAACAATGCAGCAAAACATATTGTAATAGGAAATACAAGGATCTGTTTCTGAGGTTAATGATTTTTATCTGAAAATCTAAAACAATAAAAAAACTTCCTAAGAAATTTCTCATTTCAATTATTTTGTTTGTTTTTTAGCTACATGAGAATTATAATTTCCTGCCTAAGGGGTCTATACTTGGAATGTTCGTGATAATTTCTTACTCTCTAGCTAGAGTAGGGCCATGAATATTAGAAACACAAAATAAGTAGTCGTGAAAGGTGTGGTCTATGAGAAGACACTATGCTTGTATATAAATGTAATTATCCATATTCCTGAGATACCGAATACTCACAATACTTAGAAGTATCCATTTGAAAATCTGACACGACACACCTGAACTAGATTGTCTAGATTGCCTTGTTGTTTGAAAGTTATTGATTGAAGGCCGTAACTTGAGATCGGAGCACCTCACCAACTGTTTTAACTGAAAACTTCATTACTTCTTGCTGGGCTCAAGTAAAGATGTTTTTGTATATAAACAATTGAGTCAATGTAACAGAAAGTTACAGGAAATACCTTTCACCATATCCTCTATCAGAAGATGATCATAATTTCATTATAAAATGATCATATCTGAGATAGAAAACATGCAATACTACTAATTTAGGTAACATTTCATTGAGGAAATTTTCAACTCCACTTTTATTCAATTTGCAAACATCACCAAGTCAATAGACAAATGGAACTTTGGGCAGTTTGAAGGAACTATGCAATTCAGAGAAATGATAGCTACAATCTACCCCAATAATTTTCTTCAATTGAAGTTAGTTACAGTACTTTGGAAGTTATAGAAATGAAGGAGGCAGTTATAATCTAGAAATGTCATAGTCATCTCTTTGCTGCTCTTATCTGTATGCCCTTTCACCTCACAATCCATAATCCAACCTGAAACATACACAGTGCAAAGGTATTACTTTCTGTACTCGGAATTAAAATTATAGTCTTTCAGATAATTGTAACGTTGTTACCTAGTTAACATATACTTCCTACTTGAAGATTTTAAAGGTGAAGAGATGGGCAGGTTCAAACCTTCCTTCTTTTTCCATTCAGAGTAGTTTTTTTTTTTTTCCAATTGTGGATAGGGATGTCTCAAAATAGCTGCATTTTTGCCTCCAAATTCCCAAAGTGAGATTAAATCTTAGGAAATCTTTATTCATTACTTTTAAAGAAACTGAACTTGCTAAAAAATAATTAAATATCTTCCATCTTGAACTCATTCTAGAATTCTCTTTTTATGTGCAGCACATAAAGTTTTATTCACACACATTTTCATAAGATATTTACTAGATTTTCTAAAGTCATTAGGACAAAAATAGTTTACTTTTATTTTCCCACATTCAAGTTATATTGTAGTTACAATATATGTTGTAGAGGAGGTGTTTTATTTTTTGTTTGTCTATTAATTCAAAAAACATAGCCTAAATACTTTAAATCATCAAAATTACTGTCTTCACATTTAATTTCCTTTTACTGAGAATATAATCTGTTGCATGATTCCTTCACCGTATAGTAAACAGTAACATAAAGACATTTAGAATACAAATATTATATGGATTTCATTTTAAAACATATTAGATTATTCATTCTTGTCTACAAAATGTGGAAAACACTTTAAATTCACAAACAGCTGAGAAATCCCTGGAAATGAGAGATGTCTTATTATTATGAATTACAATTGCTACATCTTATGATCTTAGGTTTAAGTAAAACATTTCACAAATGAGTTAGCAAACCAACAAATGTAGTTTAAAATATGGCAAAGTAATGTTTATGTCATGAAAACAATTTCCTACATATGCATGAAAGTACTAAGCATCTACTTCAAAGATTACGAAAAGGCTTTACTGTGTGAATATTTAAAAAGAAGCAATTCTAGTAAACTAGTCTCTGTATTGGAAAGTTAAAGAAGGTATACAATTTTTTGGCTAGAAGGGCAGGTAAACTTAATGAACTAGAAGCAACATCATTTGACAATAGCACCCATCATAGACTTAGTTTAAAAAACTCTTTCAACCTGCCTCAGTTGAAAATGAGTATTTAATTAAAACAAAAACCTACCTGTAACTACAAGTGGAGCAATATAGTAAATAGCTACAATACTAGAGGAAAGCAATATACTCATGAAAGGGAAATATATCTATTAAGTTTAAAAAGAAAACATGAAATGCCTCAATGTAAGAGACACATAGAAGTTTCTTTACATTTTCTAAAATTTTACATAGCTATATGAAATACTTAAATATTGTGGCATTCTTAACCTGTGAAACATTGTATCACACTCAAAAATGAACATTATGAAACAAATACCAATTTTTTTCATTAGTATTTTCTTACAGGGCTAGGAACTGTTGCAAGAAAATAAAAACGCCTTATGAACATTTTAGTGAGAATGTGAACAGGAGTTTGTGATTTCAGACTTGCATGTATGTCTCCTAATTTTTACACATTCCACCTTATCTTCCTAATCATACAAAACAAATATTCAGCAAGTAAGCCAATGGTTCCCTTTCTAAGGTACTGTCTTGTATTCCTAATTTTTTAATTGTCTAAATTTTTTCTACCATGTCTTCTTAAGGAGAGAAATTCTAATTCAGTGATCATTTTACACATCAAGAGGTTGTGTGATTAAAGTGCTGTTTAAAAATAAGTTTTTTTTTGTGGCCTGGAGAGATAGTTCAGTAAGAACAACTGTCACTCTTGCAGTGGACCTAGGTTCAGTAACTAGCACTTATATAACAATTTATAACAATCCTGAATTCTAGTTCCTGGGTATCCAATACACATTTCAAGCTTTCAGGGCACCAGGCATGTAGGCAGTGACAATTGTACATGCATGTATATAAAAAGTCATATTTATAAAATAAAAAGTAACAAATCTTTAAAAGATAAAATGAAGAAAAATAATCTTTTACGTAAGTCTCTATGTTACTATAAATACTAGGTCAATGTTCATTGACTGAAATCATCCTATCATCAAGACAGATAATTTTCCACTTAGAAAATAATGCTTTTGCAAACTACATTTGAATGCATTTCAACATTTTCATCATGTATTTCCTATGCCTTAATGAAGGTTTATCCAGAAGACACCTTGGGATATAATCAACTTAATATG